CAGAAGGACGACGCTGTGCTGGTGTCGATGCTCCGCCGCTCCGCCGCCGATACCGTCATCACTGCTCCTGGCTGCTTCCCCTTTGACACTGTCGTCCAGAGCTACCCAGCTCTGCGCCAGCTGATCTGGGTCGTCGACGAGGGCAGCGCCCACCTTGATTGGAACGAGGTGCCCGAGGGCACGGGCGGCAGTGTCAACGTGTCCACCTGGCAGGACGTCGTCAACGATGCGCCGCAGGCCGCTGGCCGCGAGCTGCCGGTGCTCGAGGGCCAGTCGCAGCCGCGCGACGTCACCATTTTCTGGGAGCCCTTTCGCGACGAGAATGGCGCCAGCTCGGGCGCCGCCGCGTCGGGTATCGAGGAGATGGTCCGCTTCACCAGCGGCAACCTTGTGTCCGCCGTTGCCGCCCAGCTGTTCGCCGTGCCCTCTGCGCAGCGTGTTGGGCCTTCGGACCTGTTTCTGCCTGCCGACTCTCTCACTCACACGCACACTCTCGTCCTGACCCTCGCCGCGCTCTACTCCAATGCCTCGGTCGTGTTCAACAGCGTCGCGCCCCGCGCCGCCGATCTTTCCATGGCGACCCGTGGCATTGCGCCCACGATTGTGGTGGCCACGCCGTCCGCCGTGCTTGCCACCCACGACGAGTCTGTCCGCCTCCTAGGCAACGGTGCCTTTGCGTCGTTTTTCCTCAAATGGCAAACACGCGCTCTGACCGAGGGCGGCGTCATTCCCGCCGCTACCTCTTTTGTCAGCCGCTTTTTCGACAGCGTGCGCCCCACTGTCGGAAAGACCCCCGGCAAGCTGCGGCTGCTATACGTGGCCGAGCGCGCGGCTGCCGGTACGCCCGCCGTTTCGGCCACCGTCCTGTCTAACCTGCGCATCTTCACGGGCGCGCGCGTCATCTACGCGCTGGCCAGCGCCAAGGTGGCCGGTGCCGCGGCCCAGACGGCCTTTTACGACTACCGTGTGGCCACCGGCACGTATGCGCCTTTCGGCTCTCCCTTGACGAGCACCGAATACCTTGTGCGCAGCAAGGGCCAGAACGAAGTGACTGATGCTAAGCTCCAAGGCGAGGTACGTTAACATCCAAGTAATAAATATATGTATGCAGAACTCGGGTAAAGCGCGGAAGCTAACGTCTTTTCTACAGATTATCATTCGCGGCCCGTCTGTTGTGGGCAACGAGGCTGCTCTGGGCGTCATCGGCGGCATCCGGGACGACAACACGCTGGCGTATGTCTAAGGCAATCAATTGCAATTGCGTGTGTAGGATGAAGGCGTATGAGAACAATGAAAGTTTGAATAGCAAGGCCGGGCCGGAGCGAGCCCATTATCACAAACGGGCGTTGACCAATAGTGTAGACAGATAGGTCGTGACGCACGACATATCCTGATGTGGCGGATCTCTTTACTTTGGAATCAACTCGACCATGTGTCGTAGCAGCGCAAAACCTTTAGCTTGTCATTCGTACTATTATATCATGCCGCATGATCCGTACAGCTAACAACAATTTCCCACAACCTTTCTCATACTTTCCCATCAATCCTCATCATGTACATAATCAACGCCCAAGTCATATAATTAACAATATGGCAGGAACAACCAATGCAAGTGTATCTGTAAAATCATTAAAAAACATGACGCCATAGAATAAAACCAGCGACAAGATATCCCAGACCCAAACTACCATGAAGATTTGCAAAACTGACGCAAGAAAGAAAAGAGGTCCATTGCAGCTGGCCCTATGCACCGTTCCGGTACACTTGCGCACCCTGGTTGCGGAACATAATCGTGTCGCGCCGTTGCAGCAGCTTGAGTGCCCTGTTGAGGGCCTGCTCACTAAATCCGCGAACCTCGACCATTTCTCGTCGCAGGGTGGCCAAGCTAGTGCTCCAGCCGATCGGCAGACGCCGCTTCAGTTCCGCCTCCACGCGCGATGCCTCCTGGTACAGCTCACGGGCCGCCACACCACCAGCACCGGCACCCGACGAAATGCCCGACCCGCCGCCGTTGTTGTTGGCGCCCATGCCCGTCTGGCTGCCCTGGTTGACGGCATCCATAGTTGAGCATAGGAACAGACGAATGGCTTCGTCGACGTGCTGCTCCGTCGCAATCGGCGACAGTGTCAGCTTGGCCAGCGACTCCGTGATGCGCACAATAGCCTCCAGCTGACGAACGGTGATCGGAATGCTCGACCGCGCGTTCGTCTCGAGCTCGGTCGCGTGCACCTGCCGACGAATTGACACGAAGTGGGACGACAGCTTCTCGGCTGCCTCGGCACTCAGTCTAGGGGCACAGCGTCTAGATTGCTACGTTAGTGTTTTTGTTTCACTTCCCATGCGAACCTGCAAACGCCATTGGAGGGACTCACGTTTTGCAGTAGCTAATGTACCGCCGCAGCTTCTCCACGGGGATCTCAGACTCGGCCTGGTCCTCCACGCCCCGGCCACCCATATGAATGCCCATGACGTGCTTGGCCATACGCTCGTCCTTGCCGCGCTCATGCTCGTCCTTGACAATGAAGATCATGTCAAAACGCGACAGAATCGTCGTCTGGAAGTCAATGTTCTCGCCGGGAGTCTTCATGTCGTCGTAACGACCAAAGATGGGATTGGCTGCTGCCAGCACGGATGTCCGGGCGTTGAGAATGGTCGTGATACCAGCCTTAGCAATAGAGATGGTCTGCTGCTCCATGGCTTCGTGGATTGCCACACGGTCCTCGTCGCGCATCTTGTCGAACTCGTCAATACAGACCACACCGCCGTCGGCAAGCACCATGGCACCACCTTCCAGGTAGAATTCGCGCGTCGACTGCTCACGCTGCACCGAGGCCGTCAAACCCGCTGCGGACGAGCCCTTGCCGGATGTGTAGATGGCAATCGGTGCGACCTTTTCCACAAACTTAAGAAGCTGCGACTTGGCTGTACCGGGATCACCTAGCATCAGCACGTTGATGTCACCACGCAGTTTCATACCGTCCGGCAGGATCTTCTTGGAGCCGCCCATCAGAAGACACAGGATGGCCTTCTTAATGTCACGGTTGCCGTAAATCGACGGCGCAATGCAGTCGGTCATGACGTTGTACAGGTCAGGCTGCCGGCTCAGTTCCAAGAACTCTTGCTCTTCCTCTTCTGTGTAGATGGCGCTACCCTTGGCAGTCTGGTCGATGTCGGTCTGAATGCCGACAGCACGTAGGTACGGGGTCCGAATGGCAATAGCACCACCTGTGTTTCCGCTTCCACCTTTGGTCGAGCTCTTGTTCTGGTAGATGGAGAAAATGCCAGTGATTGTGCAGCGCGAGCCGGGCACAACGCGGTTTGTGAGGTAGCGGTCGGCTGAGATAAGCACATGGCGAGGCAGCTCACCGACAGGTACCTGGTCGGGCGCCTCTTGCAGCTTAATGACCTGCTGGTCAACAAACTCGGAGTCCTCGTGCATTACAATGTATGGGTCGAGCGGGCACTTGTCCGACGTGTCGTCCTTGGTCCGCACCCGGCCACATTGGCGGGGCAGCGTCACGCCGCTAAATCCACCGGTCACGCTGATGGGAAGATTGAAACCGCAGCTACGGCATCGCACGGCAAGCTTTGTGGCCTTGGAGGACATGACAGAGGCACCGATGACAATTCCCGGGACTCGCACCAGGCGAGCGATTGTGAGCGAGTCAAGGTTGCGGATGGCCACCTCCTCAGCGCTAGAATGGAGCAGAAGCTGATGTTCTGGCAAGTCGACTTTCTGCTGGTGGGGGAAGACAATTCGGTGCGTGCAACGCTTGAGGGCACTCTCGAACTAAGTTTGAGACGCTGTTAGCTGAGGTCGGGCGAAAGGCATGATCAGTTCTTGAGTCTTGTCGTCAGCCGCGGCTTACTAGTGGAATGATCTCAGCGGGCTCTGTCACCAACCGGTGCGCCAGCTCTTCATTGTACTTGATCAGGTCGCCAATGTCGACGTCGCAGTAGAATTTCTTGAGGAGTGCATTCTCCTTGAGCTGGTCTCTGCGAGGCAGTCGGGTTAGCAGCGGTTTCATGCGTGTCGTATGTGAGCATCGGCACGTGGGGAGCAGCTTACCTGTAGACAAAGTTGTTGTCGAGGCGGAACTTGAGCACAAAATCTTCGAGGTCTCTTTGTGTCTTGACGCGAGAGTCGTCGCCGTTCTCGTTGTTATAGTCGTAGACATGGGTCGAGTAGACCGATTGTTGATCCATCTCGACGGCGGTTGCTAGTGAGTGCTCGATGTGATGAGTCGTGAGCAACCGGGCAGATGTGTGCAATGAACGCGCTCGTTCGGATGAAAAGAAGACAGAGAAATGTGAGGAGGTCAAGGAATAGGGCAAAAAAGGCAATTAAGCAAAGGTCACTGCGAAGTAAAGGTGGTCGCAAAGGAAGAAAGTGCGATGGAGGGGGGATTTCCTAGAGCGACACGAAAAACGCGTCGCGTACCTACCCCAGACGCGTCTTAATTAAAGTGGTTGCATACGGTAAGGGCGACTTGTTCTGAAGACACTTCCAAGGGGTGGGAACAGCACTTTGGCGCTAGCCTATTTCGGACCTGCCCCTTGATGCCCACTTTGGGTGATGTCACGTGCATCTGAATACAGAGTACGCTAAGGCAACGACGAAACGGTACGCTTATGCCGTGGCCAGTCGCAGCGTAGCTGAAGCTACAGCTTGCCAACGACGCACGAAACGGACATCGGCATCACCACCCACAAGCCGGACCTAACGGCTCCATTACGCATGTCGCAGGAGCGAATGTCCAAAGTATTGTCTCCGAGATATTCTAACCCAACAAAATACGCTATCCCCGTCCATCAAGAGCGCCTGTTAAGCCAAGCGGGTCGCCAGCCTCGAAGCCGATTCGGCCGATTCGAAGTCCACCTCCCGTTGCCTCACCCTAGGCCCCCGGACGCGAGGCCCCGGGACTCCGACCTACATGCCATTGTCCGACTTGCGACTCCATCCCGGTTCTGGTTCTGTGACCAGGCCTGGCCTGTGAGCCATGTACTCCAATTCCGATGGCCGCAAGTCGGTCGATAGCTTGACGTCGCCCGCCGGCGTCACGCACCGTGCCGACTTTCCCTTCCACAAGTGAGATACAGCAGCCCTGGGAAGGAGATGGGTTCGATATACTGTTGTCTGTCAAGTTAGTGGTGCTGACTCGTTAGACAATACAACAGGCAACGCCGAGAATCCGTCGCTAGTTCCACAACTTCCATCGGCGGCACTTTGGACACGGCCGTGGGAGGAGGAGGTTGGCCCAACACTCTGCAGGAGGCAGGACAGAATGGTAGGCACTGGGCTCGTAGCCAAACGGCATTATCTTGTCTCGCGACCCGTCTTGACAGAACCGCTGACTGACGCCAACAGCAATCTCCACATTACTCCAGCCGCCCATCGTCCGCTCTGGCTTCCAGCCGCACACAGCCGCCCCGGCACACAGCACGCACAAACCGCCGACGTCGCGCGATATCCCGCCTGTCAAGCTGACGAACATTGAGCAAGTCGACTCGTCTGAGTTCTCCTCGTATTTGCGGCAGGTCGGCAGACTACACGAGCAGCTCCATCGAGCCAAAGAGCGGGAGGACGAGCAGCTGGCCACCGCCATTGGCACGCCGCGCAACAACAGCAAGGAAGACCTTGGCGAGAGCGCGGCCGACGGCCACCTGCGGCCCAGCGCGTCGCGCCGGACGTCGTCCACAAGACGGCTGTCGGTCTCTTCGATTTCGTCGGCCACATTGGTTGATGCTCCGAGTCCGGTACGGCGTAGCTCGTCAAACTTCCGTCGTCAGAATCTTGGTCCGCCGCCGTTGAGCACCATTCCCAGTGTCTACTTTGACGAATCTTTCCACCTGGAGAATCCGCGTACGTTTGATATTGTCAGCGAGCGGGCTCAGGTGATCTCCACCTCTCTGGACGCGGAGAGCGAAAAGGACAAGGACGCAGCGCACAATGGCGGTGCCAGTAACAGCACGGCTGCGCCGCGGAAAACGCTTGCCAACAACCAGATTCTACAGGAAAAGCTGTCTTGGTACATGGACACGGTGGAAATGCACCTCATTTCGTCCATATCGACGGCGTCCTCGGCGTTCTTTACTGCGCTTGGGGCGCTTAAGGAGCTGCACACAGAGGCTGCTGACTCTGTCGACCGGATCAAGGCGCTGCGCACGGAGCTAGGCGGTCTCGACGAAGAGGTAGCAGTGCGCGGCCTCGATATTGTGCAGAAGCAGCGCCGCCAGCAAAACACTCTCAAGTTCCGTGCCGCCGTCCTGCAGCTGCAAGACATTGTCAGTGGTGTCACCGCGTGCGACTCTCTTATTGACGCGGGCGACGTGGACAAGGCACTAGACAGCATCGACGCACTGGAGAAACTGATTGCCGGCGAGCACGATCCAAAGGCGAATGTGACGCAGCCGCGCGGTGGCTACGCGCTGTGCGACTTGCGCGGTGCGGCAGCCTTACAAGGCGTTGGTGGCGACATTGCATCGCTCCGCTTCCGTATCGGCAAGGCCTACGAGGCGAAGTTTGTCACGGCACTCATGAAGGACATTCGCAACCACGCTGAGACCGTCTCCAGCCAGGACGTGCTGATGCGTTGGAACAGTGCCGCGATGCGCTCCCGCGGCGGCCACAACCGCGAGCCGTCCGCGTTCCCTGCGTACCTCGCGTCCACCGACGAGCTACGATCCGAGCTCTTGCCCATCCTCACGGGCCTCTACAGGGCCAAGCACGTTGCCGCGGCGGTTCAAGCGTTTAGAGAGGCGGTGCAGCGCGAGATCAAGAGCCTGATCCGGCGGCCACTGCCGAGCTCCAACGACGACGACAATGAGTCCGTCATGTCATCCTCGACAGCCGGCAGCTCACGTAACCTGTCGCAGCACGAGAAGTCCTCCAATCTTGCCAGGAATCTGCGCGCGCTCGACCCGCAGGACGCGGAAGAGCTGCTCGTCAAGGTCTACATTGGTGTCACGGAGACGCTGCGGCGCTTCACTACCCACGGTAAGGTGCTGCTGGATGTGGCGAGCTCCGTCGGCGACGACCAGATTCCAGAGGGCCTCAGGTCGCCGCCGTTTAGCCCGTCCGGTCGGCCGATGCAGCACATCTCTGACACCGGCATGGCGGTGCAGGGCGAGGTCCACAAGACGCTCGATGTCAGCAACCTGCTTGGCCAGGCCGTGGACGTGGCTCAGGACAAGATCGTCAAACTCTTGCGCGTCCGCCAGGAGCAGAGCTCGAGTCTCTCGCTCAAACTGTTCCTGCGCTACTTCACACTCAACGTGCACTTTGCCAACGAGTGCGAGGCCATCTCTGGTCGCAGCGGCACATCCTTGAAAAACGTCGTCAACATGCAGATCAAGGACTTTTTGAAGGGCTACGGCGATGCTGAGAAACAGAAGCTGGCCGTGGACATGGATAAGGATCAATGGATAGCCAAGGACGTCAGCGACGAGGACAACGAAGTGCTGCAGCGTATTTTGAACGCGAGCACAAAGGACGCACCTTCATGGACTACGGATGTTAAGCTCTGGATTCCCATCACGACAGACGACTTTAAAGAAAGCACTGACAACCCCGCCAGCCTCAGTACTGACGCCGTACCGGACGCGGCCGCTGCTAACGGCAAGGCAAAGGTTCGCGGCGCCACTATTGACGAAGAAACCTTTTCGCTGCCCGCGTCGGCCTTGGTTTGCATCCAGGGCATTTCGCGCTATATGCACCTGGCAGTGGCCATTCCGTTTATGACCGCCGAGGTGGCATCGACACTCGTTCAATATCTGCAACTGTTCAACTCGCGATGCACACAGCTCATCCTCGGCGCTGGTGCCACGAGAACCGCCGGTCTCAAGAACATTAATACGCGCAATCTTGCTATTGCGGCCCAGTCGCTCTCATTCTTGGCGACACTCGTTCCGTATGTCCGCGAGTTTTTCCGGCGACGCGCCAACTCCGTTCCGGGCGTGACGGCGTCGAGCCTGATGGGCGATTTTGATAAAGTTAGGCGCTTGTACCAAGAGCATCAAAATAATATTTTTGAGAAGCTCATGGAAATTATGAGTGCTCGCGCGCAGGTCCACGCCCGGACGATGGCTAAGATCACGTGGGACAACGACGATAGCGAGCCCGGAGTGCACGCGTACATGGAGACGCTAGTCAAGGATACGATAACGCTGCACCGCAACCTCGTCAAGAACCTCCCCGAGAGCAGCGTGCGATTTATTATGGTGCCCGTGTTTGCTAGCTACACAGAGCATCTGAGCAGCGTGTTGACCACGGCCGAAGTCCGCACCCGGAAGGGCCAAGAGAAGTATGTGCTGTTGACCCCAGTTGCCGATGAAAATAAACGAAACAAAAGTAGTGAACTAACCAATTATAACAGCATGCTCCAAGACCTCGATTACTTCAAGAACCGCCTCAGTAAGATTGATGGGTTCGAAAAGACGGGTGACGTGCTCCGGACGATTGCTACAAACAAAGTTATCAAGCCGCCTACGCCTCCTCCTCCGCCAGCGGTGCCAGTCGTAGAGCCTTCCGTCGAAAGAAAGCCTTCGGGCGAGTCCCTAAAGGAGACCACAAAGGAAACCGACAAGGAGGCCAACATGGAGACCGCCAAGAAAGGCGACGTCAAGGCGGAGAACAAGGCCAAGGAAGACAGCGACAACGACGATTCTGCACCCCCTCCGCCCCCTCCAAAAGACGGTACTTCCACGACTACGAAGGAAGCCGAAAAGAATGACGAGGCTAAACTCGAGACAAAGCTTGAGGAGAAGGAGGCGAAGGAGGAAGAAAAGGAGATGAAGGAGACGAAGGAGGAAAAAATGGAGATAGAAGAGGACAAATTAGGAGAAGAGAAGCCTGAGAAGGCGGAACCCGTGGAGACTGTCGAGAAAGAAGAGAAGCCGGCACCAGTGGAAAGCAAGATGGTCGACGAAAGGGCAAGGCCCGAAGCCAAGAAGAAGGACGAACCCAAGGCCGAACCCAAGAAGTCCGAGGCGTCAAAGAAAAACAAGAAAAAGAAGGCCAAGAAGGCAGCGGCCAAGAAGGCAGCGGCCAAGAAGGCGGACGACAGCTCCTCCGAAGAGGGCAGCGGCGACGAGAAGTAGCTGCTGCAGCCTGAAAAGGACTCTACAAGACATCGGGTTCTCATGGGTATTATTCGCAGCACTTTTATTTGTTGTTTTGGACGTCAGTTTGGCCATCAGCTTAAAGCTTCAAGGGGCTGGAGACACATGATTTGGTTACATGGTAGCGATAGCATGCACATAGACAGAATATATCAGCGAGACGAAACCTCGTGAATGACAACGGTGAATACGTATTGATGAGGTTCATTCAGACTTGCGTACTCTAAAGGATAAATTCTTTCTCTTATTTCCTCATTTTCTTTTTCTTTGTGTTTCAATACTGAAATCCCCGCAGTTGTTATCCCAGCTTCGGTCGTTTCACCTGCGCATGTTGGTGATGAGACAGACGAATGATGGTTTGCTGTCATAGGTATCGATAACTGCAGGACAACATCACGGGCATTGGTTACGCAGTCCTTTGTTTGAGGTCTTCTTAGTCAAGTTCAGGGTTCTTGTATAAGTGGGCCTCGGGGGTCCCTTCCCACCCACTTATATCTCTCCTTTGTTCGATGTGTAAACACTGCAAGTGCGACCAACCCCAAAGTCGACAACTTGACACGAAAACGGCAAGAGCCAGCGTTGTATCTTCTAAATAACAGTTCACAACGGAATAGGAAACAACTGCCTGGATTAGCCACCCTTCCCAAACCAACCACCACAAACCACGTGACTTTGTGAGGAAACAGTCGAAGCTTTTCGACCATGAGCTGGACCAATGGTATCGACACAAGATATCCGTACATTCGAGACCAGAAATCACAGTCCAAATCAAGGGATGGCGATGGCCAGATGACAGTGCGTAGGGCACGGAATACAGGTATCCGTCACCGGGGGGCAACGGCGGCCGATGTCTCTTGCAGTCACGTTCGCCACGGGCTCGCAAACATATGTACGGTGTCGAAACCGGACCAGGTGACCTATGCCGTCATACCGTACGGATTCAGATACCATCAGTTTAGCCCTTCGTAGTCAGCCACGAGACTATGCTTGGTTGCTCCAGAAATTGTCCGATCCATTGCGTAGAAGAACGTAGAAGAGTCGTGTGGCTCAGCCTTACTAGTGAATAGTCTGATGAGGCTGCACTGACGACGGTTACCTCAAAAATGACGTTTTTAAGTTCCTTAGTAGTGATTGTAACTACTTCCGGAACTGGGGGAGCACTACGGAGATGACGTCAAGATTTCATTGAAGGTTAGAAGAAAGTAGGTGAGCAAAAAGACACGGGGAAGTCGAATTCTGGTGCATCTTGCCCCAGTTTCCGAGGTCTCAGCATGAGGACATAGGGACATGGGGTAACGTGTAAGAGTCGAGGTCTGGGAAAAGAGGCAAGGGCATGCGCAGATCTGGGCTGGGCGAGCCAGATCTGGACAAATACGTGAAACTATGCGAGGGGTTTGTCGTCGATCATTTTTATTTAGCGGAGAAAGGACAGAAGGAAAAGTACGCCGTTGGTAAAGATGAACAGTAAGGTTTTATGAACGACGTAGAATAATAGGAGCAATGGAAAATTAAAATGAAGAAAGACGAAAGAAGGAAAATCAGCGTCGTGCTGGGGTGCCCGTTGTTATGGCAAATGTGTTTTGGGTGTGTGAGCAGACGTTGCATCGACGGCTCACGACCATCGTCGGCTTCTAGAAGGATTTTCCCAGCTTCCGTCTGGGACTGTTAATTCCTCTAGTCGTGTCCACGTACGGAGGCGGCTATCACTCCGCTGCGGGAGCGGGTAGTAATTCCAGATCGCATATCAAGCGGGATCTACGAAGTGGAAAAGTGGGAAAGGAAAATGAGAGCAAAATTGCCAGGGTGGGTTGTATCTGGGGGACATTGCAATTTTAAATTTCACGAAAAGGGAAAGGAGCGCTTTCCCAGGGCAAGGGGACGAGCGGGGTGGTCGCATCGTGGGAACGGCATAGTTGCCCAAGACCTATGCTTTTTTCAACTACATCTCTTAAACTAGTAACAAAAAGAAGTTATGTCGATGTAAACGTCTGAAAAGGTTTTATCGTGCTTCATTAAAAGCAATAAAACATCATTAATCATGACTGGTATAAACACGCGGCTGAATAGCCGCGAGGATCATTCTTCCGTTCCGGCGCGGATAATTAATTGCACGCGTCGTGCAACACGGCACGATAAAAGATCTGCATCGAACCGGGCACATGGTTTTATCTAGGTCACTTCGTTTAACGTGGCAAAGCAGCTTGTCTGGGAAAGTATCTCATTGATTGTTCGTCAACGGTCTATCGTCTATTCAATATATGGGCAGACTGGAGTCACGCCGCATATCCTAAGAACATGTCCAAGAAATGCAAAAATGAAAGTGTATGCAAAATGGGGTATGGCAAGAAAAAAAGATGTGAAAACCGAGAAAGTATCTCAAAAGAATGGCGTATCACCAAACACTGAAAAGAGTGGCAGTCATGGGATCGCGAAAAAAGAAGTGTGGAAATGTGAAAAAAGGTCGGGCAGAAGAAGGAATCCAAGTCGTAGAAAAGAGTGTAAGTTGCCCTTGAAAGGAGTGTGTGAGAAAAAAAATCCAGGGAGTGCGTCACTGGGACAGCTCTTTTGAGCAGTTTTCCTCCAAAAGATGTCGTGGTTTCAAACCACCAAAAGTAAGAGACAGAATGGTCCACGCCACGATGGGCGTCGAAAAAGACAGTGGGAGAGAGAAGAAAGGTCGTTACGGTCTTGTGTCATCGTAACCCGTCACGCACAGCGGATGGGCTGAGTCATTTTTTTCGTGTCGTTAAAAACGAAAGACGCGAGGATGCGAGAAAACGAGAAAGCAGAGCCGTTTGGGAAACGAAGCTTAGTACTTCAGCTCGACCAGGTTGCGGGGCAGGTTCTTGCCAGTGGCAGCGGAGTTGACGTCGCGCTTGGTGGTGTTGGCGCTGCCGCTGCCCAAGGTGACAATGAGGTTGGTCTGGTCAGTGACCTTGGTCTGGACATCGTCGGGCAGGTAGTAGGCGTTGTTGCAGGGGAAGGGGTTGCAGCCAGAGGTGGGGGTGTTGGGGGCGTCCGCCGGGTACATCATCATGATGTTGTCGGTGTCGGCCGAGTTGACGATGGCAGAGACGTCAAAGTAGGTCGAGCCGCCCCAGCCCTGGAAGTTGACCTCGGCGAGCATGCCGGGGACGTTCTCCTTGCCCTCCTGGACAGCGTATGCATTGCCAATGAAGCCTTCCGCGAAGTTAACGGGAACGGTGGCACCAGGAGCGACGGTCACGGGGTCCATGCCCTCGACGCCGACGCTGGGAGTGATGTAGATGGTGCGGGCAATGTTGTCCGTGGAGACAAAAGTGAGCGTGTTGGTAGCCTGAGCAGTGGCGGCGAGAGCCATAGCAGCAGCGACGTTGCGGAAAGAGAACATGTTGGCGGTGTTGTAAAAGAGAGTGTTTGTGCTGTGAAAAGCTGTAAATGGTGGGTTGTAAAAGATGCGAAGATTCGTGTGTATATAAAAACCACCGGGGTTCGAAAGTGAGAGGATGAACTTTGGATAAAGCTGTGAATGAGTGTAGGGACCAATGAAGGAATGGACAAGTTTGTTGCTTTTGGTAGGATGAATCAAAAAACAAGACAAAAACACATCGACAGATGGCATGGGGGGAAGGGGGGTCTTTATAGATGAAGGGGGGCCATGAAAGATGCGAGGAAGGAGAGACGCAGAGAACGTCTGTTTTGGGTGCAAAAGCCATCACTTCCATCCCCATCGTCCCCATTTCCCCTTTCAGAAGGAACCGAGAAGGGGAGGTTTAGCCTAGCGTGTCGACGACACCGGCGCGTGGAAAAGAACTAACGCCAGGAACAACCGGGACAAAAAAGGGGAATGAGACAAACGAGTCCAACGGCAAGAAGGAACGTGTACTTCGGTAAGGAGAGAAAGAGTGTGCGTGGAAAACCAGCAAAAACAGCAAGGGACGAGGTAGCAGCGAGGCACAAGGTACTTCGCAGTCACCTTCAACGGCCACGGACAGCAAGTGCGGCAGCTTGTATCGAGTTTCGGGCAGGTACGAACGGCGGGCGAGGCAGACACGCAAGTCGATGCGTGGCCTGGATGCGGTCGAAGCAGGTACCTGAGTCCTAAAAGAGGGAGGGTGTGTTGCCCCTTGCACTAAGCCGTTCGCGGCTACGGCTCCCGAGCGAAAAGTCTTTCTCTTTCGCGCCGCAGTGTTTGCAGCAGTAGGATTTTTAATTTTTTTATTCTTTCTTTTTCCACTGGTTTCACCTGCCTTCACGCCGCCACTGCACACGCAGGCACTAAATCGTAGCGCGGGCCATTTTCAAGTGGGGCCGAAAGGCAAACGCTGGGTCTTAGTGCGTCCCGCTCAAAAAGCTCCGTACAGTACTAAAACTCACGCGCACTTTTTGTCGCTTGTTCAGTGCGCGACAATGGGACGCCAAAAGACGCACTCTGCACTGTGGGGGGCACGCTGCAAACAGGGGTACGAGGGGTAGGTGGACACTGATGAGCTGGTGGAGCACGTCCAGGCTTCAAAGTCTTTCAGGTACGCGGAGAGGCAGGCGCTTGTCTGACAGCTCTTCCACGCACGCGCAAGGTGGGAATATGGGAAGGTGGGGGTGCAGGCACCGTCCACCCAGGACCAGGGCGCATTCAGCCCCTGCCCCCAAACCCCTTCACCTGCCTTTTATTTGTTTCATGTTTCGAAACGAGAAAGGGCGAATAGCTCAACGGGAGGGAGAAACAAAAATAAAAAGAAAGCAATGAAACAAAACAGGGACAAAGACACAAAGACAGCGAATAAAGGACGCAAAGGAAACAACGAGAATGGAAGAGACGATTCTCTCGAGGCGCACACAAGAAAAGACGCAAAAACGGAAGACACGGAGACACTGTGTACAGAGCGAACAGACGGATCAGGAAGCAGCGTTCGTTGGTGGCAGGGGTGACCAGAGCGGCTGTGGTATTGGGCAAGTACGCCAGGCCGCCACAGTGTCATATTACCTACGCCACAGTTGGGAGGGAAGAAGTGCGAACGTGGCGCCTGCGACGTGTGGGCCACAGAGTGTTGGCAGTCATAGTCGCTGGCTACGGAATCGTGGTATTTGCAAACACGGTGCGAGCGCCTGGAAGATGCCGTCGCTGCTTGTGAATTCATCCAGTCACCACACGCAGAACGAGTTTACAGAGTACTTCTGCTGAACCTAAAAGAAAAGGTTTTCATCTTCTCTTTTTAGAAAATGGAAGAAGTTTACCGTTTCTGGGGAAATAGCCCAAGCCGTGAAAAGAGGCAAAGACGGCCAAGCACCGCATGTACTTCCATCGCGCTGTTCTAAAAAAGGTCTTTCCCTTGCTGTTACCTCTTCCCGTTGTTGGTACCATGTAAAACGGATGGAAAACTCCGAAGTAGAGAAGCGACAAAAGAACTGCGTAGAAGCAAAATTCAAAAATTCAAAATACAAAATACAAAACCATCAGTGTCAATTCAGTGCAGGGGCGAGTTCATCTGTTGGTCTCAAACCGCTAAAAGAGGACTGTTCCGCAAACAGAAACAGAGCTCCGTCCGCGGTGTAGTTGCGGTGCGCCCTAGAAAAGGAGAGAAATATTGAATGGCGAGGTAATGAGAGTTAGGTACGTATCCCATAGTCTGAGCTGTTTAGGCGTTTAACCGATCAAGTAGCACTGGATGACGAGACACCGTCGGTCCAACATATGGTTAGCGAAGTTTTAGTTACTGGGGACCGTTTTCATGTGAATAATTTTTCAGTCTAAACTCTAGACAGACGGTTTGGTTTTGTGCATGATTAAGTAATAATGCACCGTTCTATCTACTTATTTAGTTACAAGAGGCCTCGATGATTGTTTAGTTGCACAAACGTGATTCGTGCGGAGGTTTTCAACCGACATAAGAAGGAACGGATATGGAACTAAACAGAACGTGGCCGTCTAATGATGTTCGTTTTCGTACGATTTCATGACCCTTATGGACGGGTACGAAAAGGCCACGAGACTGGAATCGTACGATGCGTTCTACAGCATACTATCTTAAAACTAAAGAGAGTAAAGAAAAAGACCAATACGTCCAAAATCTCCATCTGTGCCAACATGTGAATCCACCATTTCTACAAAGCAACACCATTCAGGCGAGAAGAACCACTTTTTTCTGTCAAACAAAGATCGGATCGAGCGGGGTCGAAAACGGACATTGAACAGGCAGCAAGAGTCGTTGATGTTCAGCAAAAAGTCCAGAACATTTGATCACCGTTTTGATTTTGTCTTTTTCTGGGTCCTTTTTTCTCCCTTCCAAACTATTCGACCCCTGTCGAACTTCGTTCTCTGGATCAATGTTGGATTTTTGGATTTGTGGGGTCCGGTACCTGACCATGCTGACATCCCTGATGCATCCTCGATGTGGCTTGTTTCCATTTGTCGAGCGCCGACGCACATGACGCCTCTCATTGGCTGCCTGTGTTTGCGTGTCGAGTGGGACCAATACACCAAAAGGCCGCTTTGCTTCCGTTCCGGTCTTTGGTCTGGGACCTGCGTATGCAGGAAGATGGAGCCATCCCAGTGAGGGTTTTTTGTTCCCAGTCTGCCAGCTCTCGTTGTCGTCGTATTGATCCGTGCCATGCATCGGTCTGGTTTCTTTCTCTGAACTGTCCCAAGTTCTCCAACGTGTTTGCCTTGCGTCTGACCGAGGCACACATTTTGTTTCTCGTCACCTGTGTCAAGCCTCTCTAAATTATGTCGCAGGAACTGAATCCCTGCGAGCTGAAGCCTCCGTGGCAGATGGACAGGTTGACACGGATCGTATCCCTGGTCCGCGGGTTGTTTGATGGCACCGAATCCTGAAAAGTCACACATCTTGTGCCGCTCCTGTCGCCTTGTTTACTGCCTACCTCCATCCTGTCCGTCGTCTACAACTAGTGGTTGCTTGTGGCTAGTACCTGGCATGGCGTTTCCAACTTTTTTCTTTCTGTGCTCAAATCCCGCAACCTGTAAGCGTTTTGTAGTACAACTTCCCGAAAAAGCTACCGCTGGACACCATTCTATTTTCCACCGATATCGTGCATAGTGCCATAAGAGTTTTTTTTTTGTATCTTACACTGTTTCAATAGAACTCTGCGATGCGTTTTTAGTTTTTCTTCGTAAACATGTATCGAGGCGGCAGAAAGTGCCCCACACCAACTTGATAGTCGACCAATAGAGTAACAAGACAACCGAAAGTGGGCACAAACGTTCTCCATAATTCAGTGAGAGGAAATCGCTCGCTGAAACGTCCAAAACAGGCACCGATTGACTGTCTTGGATGCTTGGTTGTAGGCTTCTAGACCGCTAAAGCCCACTAAAAAGTAGCCACTGTAAAAAAAATCATTTTCCATTCAAATCCACTGAAGGCAAAACGAACCAGCGAGCCAAAATAGTCGGCAAGATCACTAAATACTCCATCCGGCCGCCACTAAAAGACACTACGGCTGCACACTTCCAGCAAGCGTCAGTGAACGACAGCCACTCGACCTTATACGAGTCACTGTTGCCGACGACAGAAAAGAAACATCTTTTTTGCGCTAATAAAGCTATCAGTGAGACTTCCATACGCTATAATACGCTCTAATACATTACACAGCAACTAAACAGCACGTCGGTGCCCGGGTTTGTGTGGGAAAAACACCTCTCTAGCCTCTATCATTTGGCTTTGGAGGGGAAAACAGCGCAGTCTCTGAGAAGTTAGCGCCTCCTAGGTCCTTAGTCCACTGTCCTCGGCGCTGTATATGCAAGGCAGTAAAGTTTGCAGTGTCCGGAACCACTATTGGTTGTCACTGTTCCATTGCCTTCTGGTGGCTACCGCCCGCTAAACCGAGATGCCAGCAACTAGTTCTCTAGGCTCCAAAGGTGGACAGTTGCCCAGTATGGACCATATCGAGCATCCTTTTCCAGTCATTCTTCCATCCTTTAGGGAAGGCAACTAGGCATCTCGGCAAACCGAGTGTCGACGAGTACCAGAAGCAAGAATAGAAAATAAAAGATAAAACGGAGAAAACAGCAGGGCGAGTTCGGGCAGGCGTTCCGCGTTCCCGCACAAAAGTCTCAGATGTAGTAGAGAATAATGTACAACTTGCAGCTTGTAGTTTGACTTCTTGCTTCCTCCGCAGATATTGGCAGAAATGGACCAAGTTTGAACCGATACAAGACGGGCGAGACAAGCCAATTCTCACGGCTGGCAATGTGACTCGATGGAGTCTGCGCATCCGATTTGTCCACGAGCTCCGGCTATTTTTTCGTTGTCTTTTCTATTTTTCTTTTCTTTTCTCCCCTCTTTTCACCCTCGTCACTTGACGCTCAGAATCTTGCCACGACTCGTTGTCATATGTTGTGCTGGCAAACTTCATGGTGGAGTATCTCACACTGAG